GAGTCTCATGAGAATGCCATGTGAAGACGGACAGACAGACAGACAGACAGACACACACACACACACACACACACACACACACACACACACACACAGAGAGAGAGAGAGAGAGAGAGAGAGAGAGAGAGAGAGAGAGAGAGAGACCGACCAAGTGACAGGGACAGAGAAAGATAGACACTGAGAGAGACAGAAAGACAGACAGATGGAGATAGGAGGCAGGAAGATTCTGCCTGTGGCCAGCAGGGCAGGCAGGGTTTAGCCAGCACCTGCACTGCAGTCTTCTGGCTTCCAGAGCTATGAAGAATAAAGTGTGCCTGTTTTCAGCCACCCAGGGTACGGAACTGAGTTCTGGAGGCCTCAGGGAAGCGGGACACTGAGCCAGAGATCCGCCCACTGACCCCCGGAGGACCAGACCACCACAACACAGCTCAAAGAGCGGGCTATCTCTGGGTGTGATGCTGTGGGCCAGCGGTCCATTCACAGTGAGACCCTGCCACAAATGACCAGAAGAGGAAAGACAGACAACTGAGCAAAAGCCCCTCGGGGTCAGATACCTTCGACTTGGTGAAGTGTATCGTTAAACAAGAAGGGTAGTGCAATTTTTCATGGGGACAAAACGACAGTCATGTAATCATCTAAAAATCTGAGAGTAATCCCAGCACGTAGAATGAGGCAGGAGGATTGCTTTGAGTTCAAGGCTAGCCTGGGATACAGACTGAGATGCTACTTCCAAAAGCCAAAATAATAATAATAAGCAATAAATACGATTTGAAAGTCAGTGGCTGAAACCAACCCAGTAAGTCTTTCCAACAAGCATCAGTGAACTGCTCCCCACATACCACAGGACAGAAGGGGACTCAAACACACAGAACGCTTAAACTGGCTGCCCAGAAGAACTCTCCTGGAGAGTAGAGGAAGAGCCAGGTTTGAACCGCAGAGTCCTGATGGCAGTTATGCTCCTTACAACCTCCCAGAGAGGTTGGTCAGCCAGAAGGAAAAGGTAGAAAGCCATGCCACAGAAGACAGGCCGGCACACACTGTGTTTGGGTTTTGTTGGTTTGTGTTAGCACACTGCTTTGCAGGGAGAGGGATGGTGTGGTGAGGGGACCTGAACTTGTCCCAGCAGACCAGGCTCTCAGGGTCAGGAAAGCAGAGAGGAGTTGATTAGAATGCACTGGTCTCCAGGAGAGTCTGGGTCGCAGGAGACCCAGGCTTTCTGCCCAGTTCCTTGTCTGGCCCAAACCTAAAGTCAAGGCAGCACTCTGTGGGCAAAGTGTGGTGCTTAGAGGACAAGTGGGTGTTCAGGAGGACCTAGGCAGTTTTATATTTTCTTTTAAAAGTCATGCAGAAGGATAGGGGTGTGGCTTAGCTGGTAAAGTACTCGCCTAGCATACACAAAGCCCTGGGTTTGATCCCCAGTACTACATGAAAGGATATGGTGGTATAAGCCTGTAGTCATGGCACTCAGGAGCTAGAGGCAGGAGGATCAGAAGTTCAAAGTCAAACTTGGCTACATGGTGAGTTCAAGACTAGCCTAAGATACATGAAATCCTGTATCAGAGAAAAGAAAAAAGTAATATAGGGCCAAAGTGGCACACACTCTGATTTCAACACTTGGAAAGCTGAGGCAGGAGCAATGCCTTAAGTTCCAGGCCAGTCTGGTTATATAGTAAAAACCTGTCTCAATAAATAAAATTAAGCCATGCAGGACTGTAGGCAGAGGAAAAGGAGTACTAACCAGCCTACAGGACAGGTGACACGGCCAGGTCAGCGCAGATCTACAAATCACCAAGCCCCAGTGAGCAGAAGAGGGCTCAGGGCCTGCCCTTGCCTGGGTAAGGGCAACAGAGCACAGGCACACACCTGTACGTGTGTACAAACACCAGTTGATGGCATAGACGGAGAAGGACTGAGAGCCAGCTGGCCACCCAGAGGCAGCTCAAGGTGGAAGGAAACAGTTGACGAGGAGGCAGAGCAGCTGGGCAGATGTGACCACAGGCACCTCTGGACCCTTCAGAAAATGTTGTGTTCATTCACTGCTGGTCGGGGCTTCATGTCTCCCTGGGACAGCAGGCCAGATGAGAGCTAAAACCAGAGTTCATTAGGAGCATCTAGACAACAAATCTCCACATTGGGGTCCCTGACTGTCAGAGGGGGAGGGGCCTGGGGGCTGGGGGTGGGGATGGAGTTCCTGCTGCCTCAAGGATGGAAGACCCAGCAGAAGCACCCATGGGAAAAATGAACTGAGTGGGGGACAGTGACTTTATTACTGAGTCTCATGGACATTTAGAAGGTCTGAGCTGAGCAAGCCCTGTTTCTATTAGGCACGGGGAGCCTGAGGTAGATAGGGACAGCTGGTGGGAAGGCACGAGGCACGTCCTGGCCAGTGAGAGCAATGAATTCACCCTGTGCACAGCTCCTGGCTAAGAGGCAATAACAAACAATAGTAAACACACACGCGCACATACACACACACACACCCCTAAAAAGGGCACATAAAGGTGGCTATGACTACTCTTCCTCACTGGACTTTTCTAGAGCAGCTGTGACCCTACTTCTGCCACTGGAAGGAGCCACCTGAGAATAAGGACAGAAAAGAAAAAGGGAAAAAGAAGCTGGCTTTAGAAAAAAAGAAATGTTTTCTAAACGAGAAAGGCATTGGTGGTGCACACCTTTAATCCCAGCACTCGGGAGGCAGAGGCAGGTGGATCTCTGTGAGTTCCAGACCAGCCTGGTCTACAGAGTGAGATCCAGGACAGTCAAGGCTACACAGAGAAACTCTGTCTCGAGGAAACAAAACAAAACAAGAAGGTACTGGGCCGGTACCTTGTATGCAAATAATTTCAACAGCTAGAAGCCCAGCCTGAGCTGTGAGAGTGAGGCCCCCTGTGAGAGAGAAGGGAGCATTGAGGACCAGGAGCTAGCCAGCCTCAGCTACATAGTAAATTTGAGGCTATATAAGACCCTAACTCAAAGAACAAGAAGCGGAGGAGAGGGTGGGAAGAAAAGACAAATGAACCACTGCTGACCACATCATCACCCAAGTCTCCCAGGTCCAGCCACACCGGAAGCTGGCCCGGATAACTCCTAAGTTAACATTTGTTAATGCTAAGTTTTACTGCGAGTGGTAAAAGCTCTAACCTAGCATTCGGGCGGACAGTACAGCTCTGTAGAAATGCCCTGCACAGTTTGGGATGCCGCTTCTCCCGGAACACCAGTCACACACTGCCTTGCCCTTAGCTTGATGCTGGGCCAGCGCCTGGTCTTTACCAGCGCTAGCACGGCTGGGTCCCAAAGACCTCCCGACCGGATGGACTTTATTCCTCTTAGGCAGCCCCCACTAACAAACTTAACCTTCCAAAGAGTGTTTCCCAGTAAAAATAAATGGAGCTGGAGAGACTTCACGCAAGGTGAAGATAAATCTGCCAGGACTGTGGAGGGATTGCCACACCGGGAACATCCAGGCTAGAGCAGCCCTTTCCGTGAAACGCAAAAGGCAAAGTAAATCACTGCGGTCTCTGTCTGTTCCCGGGCTTTTCTACCTTCGCTCAGTCTTTAGTCCCAACTCCACCTTCCTGGGCTGCCCAAACTGAATGCAGAAAACAGTGGCTGGGAGCCAGGCACTGAGAAATCGAGGTGTCAGAGGCGGTGAGTACTGCAGGTGTGGGCTCTGCAGACCTCGGAGCAAGCGTGAGTAGTGGAGGCGGTGCTCACCCAGAGCCTCTAAACAGAGCCTCCTTGCGGAGGGCAAACACATTCCAAGCGCTTTTAAAGACGCCCAAGCATGACCTGGCCAGTGGCCTTCGCCCCCCCCCCCCCCAGCCATTTTTCCGGTCTCGGCCCAATTCTGGAAATAATATTAATAGCTTGGTGACATTTTCGGTGTACAGACTACTTTGTGACCTTAAAAGGCAAAGGTCGGGCCGGCGAGATGGCTCAGCTGGTAAAGACGCTTGCTACCAGCTCTGACCATCTGAGTTCGATGCCAACACCTGCATGGTTGAGGGAGAGAACCGATTCTCACAAACTGTCCTCTGACCTCCACGAGTGTGCACTTCCTCACACATACACACTCACAGTAAATAAATAAATGTGATTTTTTTTTTGAGACAGGGTGTCACTATGCAGCCATGGCTGGCCTCGAATTCACAGAGATCGATCGCCTGCCTCTGTTTCCCAAATCCAAATGTTGGGATTAAATCCGAGTGTCACCACACCTCGCTTACTGCTTCCCCGTTTCAAGTGGGGAAATGAGGCCAGAGACGAGACCTCTCACGTGACAGGCTACCCATTGGGTCTCTGTATGCCCTCCTCTTCTGATGGGTGATCAGATGGGTGATAGGATGACGCCACCAGCAGCCACCATTCTAGTGACGAGTAGCAGGAATCAGTCCCCAGCCAGCGGCATCTGCAACCCAACTAGCTGGAAGGGGTAACCGAGTAGGAAAGGCCCTCAGGAGGCTCCTGGCCCCACACTAGCGTAGGGATGCCCGTGTGAGTTGAAATCAACCAAGTTCTCAGCCTTGGCTCATCCCTCAGACCCGGTGCGGAAGACTAGGATTAACTATCACCTTTGTTTTAAAAGATAACAGGACAATCCTGCTAATTTCTCCCTGAGGGATAAAGTTAAGGCTGGCAGGTGAGGTGCGCCCTGGGGTTGCTTCCTAGAAGGTGCTCAGAGCAAATATCTGGAACTGTGTGGGTGAAGGGGGACGGGTGAGTGAGTGGAGCGGGCAGGGAATTCCAAGGAGGGGGCTTTAGTGGGAACTTCGGAGCTGTGCCTGGGAAAGAGAGCTCCTAACTCTCAGATCCCTAGCCCGGCTAGGTCCCTGATCGCGCGCAATGAACTCCTGCGTGCAAGATCTGGCTACACTGGGCCAGATGCTCACTGCACCCCTGGGCCTCTGCACCTCCTCCCAGCACCATCCCACTCACAGCGCGGCCGCCCCTCGCCCTGTCCCAGACCTCCCGTTCCTCGGAGGCGCAGGGCGAGCGCTCACATTTTGAACATGCTCTCCAGATCCCTGAGGAGGCGACGGCTGAACTCCGGGAACTCAGTGTAGGGGTTGAAGACCTTGCTGCGGCGGGACGGCGCTGCGCCCTGGTGGATGTCCAGCCTGCGGTTCAGCTGGGCGCTCAGTTCCGAATCCGCGCTGGCCATGGGCGCTCGGGCAGGCGGTTCAGGCTCCTGGTCCCCAGCTGGGGCAGCGTAGGGTGCAGGCTGCGGGGAGCCGTGGTTGGTCTCGGCCAACGCCTCTAGTCTCAACCGGCGCTGCAGCTTGCGGGCCAGCTCCTCGCTGGACATGGTGGCGGGTGATGATGGTGGAGCTGGGATGGGCGATCCGGCACCGGGACGCAGAGGGTTGCACGCTCTTTTGTGGGCTCGTGGCTTTGTGACGCTCGGCGGTGTCGCTCGGGACCCGGCGGTTGGGTAAAACCGCGGGTGGGCGGGGCGGGCAGGGCGGAGCTGCGGCTTTAAGGAGGCGCGGGAGCAGCAGGACTGCCTGCTGGACAGGGGACAAGCGGGGTGTCTGTGCGTCCTAGGGGTCGCGTCTGCCTAATCCTCCCCGAGGCTGGGTACTGGAGGCTAACCCGTCCCTCAGTCCAACATGGACCCTAAAATCAACTCTGATCTTGCCTCCAGCATCCACCCTGGGGGAACTGAGGGACCTCGTAGTCCCAGGGGACCAGTAGCAAAGCTGGGGAGTTAAGTTTGGCAACCGTTCAGGCAGTTCCACGCTCTTCCAGAAGCGCTCCAACCAGGGAGCTCGCGGCCTGGGACCCGCTGAGACGGGAGAACTGGGCGCGCCTGGTGACCTCCGCGCGTCCCCACGTGTGCAGGGGGCAGTCGTTGTGCTGAGGCCCTGGAGTAGCAGATGCCCCAGGCAGTGCGGGGCTGCTTCTCATGTAGCACTGAAACGTTTCCACAACAAACTAAAAATACTAAACAAAAAAATAAACAAATTGAGAAAAAAAAATTCCTGATTCCCGGGAGATAAGAGACAAATGCCGTAAGCATCTTAGTTTATCCCCCCCCCACACACACAAACACTTTTTTTTTTAATGTGAGGGCCACCACTGTGGAGGGAAGAAGAGGCTCGAAAATAAATAAGGCAACTTTTAAAACAAGAGATTGAAGTAAAAACAAGCAGCGCCGTCATTCTCCCTAAGGAAGGGTGGTGAGGACTGGCCTTACGTCAGCCAAGCGTGGAGAAAACAGCTTGTGAACACCGCAGTGGTTGACTGGGGACCAGCTCCGCTCGGACCCTTGTGGTCTGAAGGCTGGGATGTGTCTGTGATGAGCCCGGGGCGGCAGCATCTGCTTTCAAAAGGGACGATTTGGTAGCATGTGCATCTTTGGGACCGAGGGCGGGGTGGCGGGGTGGGGTGGAGGGTGTAATTCAGAGCCTGCCTGTGCCCTGATGAAAATGTAATTCGATTAGCTGGGCGTAGGGGATACACGCCTATAATCCCAGCACTCAGAAGGCTGAGACAAGAGAATTCCAGGGCCAGAAGCCAGCCTGGGGTTCATAGCAAGACCCTCTGTTTCAAAACAAAGCAAAAAAAAAAAAAAAAAAAAAAAAAAACTGGAGGGAGGTATGACTCAGTGCAGAGTCCCAATGCTTAGCGTGAAGGAGGCTCTGATTCAATCTCTAGCACACACGCAAAGTAAAATATGTGTTTCTTTTTTAGAGCTGTTCAAGAAAATAAGTCATTAAAATAAACGTACTTTTCCTGGGCATGGGTACTCATGCCTGTGATTCCAGCACTTGGAAGGCTGAGGCAGGAGGATCATAGTAGCCTGGACCATACTTACAGAGTTAAGACTCTCTGCCTCAAAAACCAAATCAAAACAAAACAGTTATTGGGGAGGTAGTAACCATAAGGGGTTCAGTTCAGTAGCAGACCTTTATACTTGTCATGAAAGAGAACCTAGGTTCAAGTTGGAGTGCGTGTGCGTGTGCGTGTGCGTGTGCGTGTGCGTGTGCGTGTGTGTGTGTGTGTGTGTGTGTGTGTGTGTTTAAAATGCTATTAGGGGTCCAGCAAGATGGGCCTAGTAGATAAAGGCGTGTTATGTGATAACACTTTTCCTGGGGAGACAAAACATACTAGTCTACTCACCCCAGATAAGGAAACCCACTGCAGACCGGGTATCATCAAAGTCCAACTTGGTGAACCAACAAGTTTGGCTGGGATTACTTACAGGAATATGGGTGAGGGGTCACTCACAGGAGCAGAAATGGCTCAAAGACAGCTGCGTCACCAAGGCCCACCCCAGCATGGGTGACAGCTCACAGAGCTGGGAAACCGGAAGGACGCTGCACAGCCTGCAGGCAGATCAGCAGGCTGGAGAGTGTCCTTTCCAAGTGACTCTGTTCTCAGCCTCTTCCAGCAGCTCAGCTGGTCTCAGACTCTGTTAGGGTCCGAGAGAAATCTCATAAAAGACCATCAGTCCTGTATGCAAACCACAAGAGTGTTTATTATTTCCAACGTGTTGGGGTGGCCAATGGCGACCCCCAGAAAAGTTCACAGGCTCCTTTTAAGCAGGGTTAGGGGAATTCCAGGGAGGAGGGGTTAGCCTGGGGGGCTGATTGGTGGGAGGCCCTAGTGGTTAAGGACTTCCTAGTGGCAGGATAGGGAAAGCTATCTTTAGCTAACAAGGCTATGGGGCACCTGCTGATTGATTGCCCCTGAGCTGTGGTCTTCCTGAGAACTGCTGGCTCAGCTCCAGCCAGTTCCAATGAACGGAAACCAAGGCCTGGTCCCTGGCAGGGCTGTTAGAAACCTGTCATGGATCTGCTCGGGCTCCCCGGCCCTCTCAATTCCTCTGAGAGTTTACTCCAGCAGGGAGTGGCCTAGTGAATCTAGTCAGTTTCAGGGAGTTCTTGAAACTCTTTTGTTGTTGTTTACCTCCTGGCTTAAGGAGCTCCCATGCAGGATGGGGTGTTTGCAGTAAAGCCTGACAACTTAGAGTTCCATCTCTAGGACCCACCTTGTGGAAGGAGAGAACTGAATCCAGAAAGTTTTCCTGTGACCCTTACACATGTCCACCATGGCAAGCACGCACTCACCTACCCACATATATACACAAAGTGAATATATCTATATTCATATATATATTGAGACACGGTCTCACTGTGTAGTTCTGGTTGCCCTATAACTCACTGTGTAGACCAGGCTGGCCTCAAACTCACAGAAGGCTGTCTGCCTCTGCCTCCTGAATACTGGGATCAAAGTGTTCAACACCATGATCAAAAAGCTACTAGGCAAGGCTGGAGAGATGGTTCAGTGGTTAAGAGCACTAGCTCTTCTTCCTGGGGTCCCTGGTCCAGTTCTCAGCACCCACATTGTGTGTGCTCATACCCACCTATAATTCCAGTTCCAGGGAATCGGACACCATCTGGTCTCCTGGGGTACCCCCCCCCTACATACATTGGAACCTACAGCCACACAGTCATGCACACTCTTAAAAAAAAAAAAAAGTTAAAATAAATAAATAAAGGCCCCAAGGAAGCATCCTCTGGCATCTTGGAGGTGACATTTCAGTAATGACCGGTGGAAGTGCGGGGGCCTAACTGGGCTGTGGGCTCACAACACCAGTCATGTGGTTGGCATCAAATTCTCCCCTTCATTGCCAGCACACTGTCCCTCACACTTGCATCCTGTCACTGCCAGCTAGCCAAACTTGCACTTGTGATGATGCTCCTGGCACAGTCCCTGAGGTCCAGAGCTGACACAGCTGTGGGAGAATCCTCTGAAAACTCCACACGAAAATGTGGAAGCAAAAGTCTGGGGGCTCTGATGCCTCAGACCTTCCAGGCCAGGCCAGCAAGCTCCAACTCCCCGGGATGCAACCCTCCTGGGACCTCTAGGCTCTGGTCACCCACAGCTATGATTTGGGGGACAAGCCAGAGTCTAGGACCACAAGGACATACCAAGGATGCAGCCTAGGGCAGACATAGATTACCTGGGTGATGTCAGCTGTCTGTGATTTACAAAGCCAGGAGACTCTGGCATGATACTGAAAGAAGAACGTGGGGAAAATTTTTTGTGGCATGGTCTTGCTGTGTAGCACAGACTGGCTTCAAACCTGCCTCAGTCTCCCAGGTGTGGAGATTACACATGTGCACCACCCCAGCTGGTGCCTTAGGTTTCTATTGCTGTAATAAAGACACCACCAACCAAAGCAATTTGGGGAGGGAAGGGTTTATTTGGTTTATGTGTCCGACCACAGTCCATCATTGGGGGAAACCAAGGTAGGCACTGAATTAAAGCAGGAACCTGGAGGCAGGAGCTGAATCAGAGGCCATGGAGGAGTGTTGCTACTGACTGCTCCCCAAGGCCACCTGCTCACCAGTGGCACAACCCCCAGCAAACTGGGCTCTCCCACATCAGTCATTAATCCAGAAAATGCCCTGCAGACTTCCCCACAGGCAATCTGATAGAAGCATTGTCTCAGATGAGGTTCCTCTTCCCAGGTAACTCTAGCCCGTGTCAAGTTCACAAAAACATAACAGTAAACAATGCCCTTTCTTGTACCTCACCTGACACAGCCCTCCCCCAGCCTGGCATGGCTGCAGGAAGGTCCCACCCCACTTTGCAGCCATTCCCTCAGAACCCTCCTCTCCTGCTCCCACAAACCCATCCTCAACCCTGGTAATCAGCTCTGAGTTCCAGCCCCAGGGTGGCTCAATTCTCCCCACCCCCATTCCTCCCCTGAACCAGGTTTTCCCAGGTGACGGTACCTTCATTTTCAGGAACTTAACCCTCTGCCCACCTGCAGGGAACACTGATAGTCAGGTCGTCCAACAGAAAGAAGAGACATGGCTTTGTTTTTTAATTTACTTTACTTTTGATTTTTTTTTTTGAGACAGTGTCTCATATAGCCCAGGCTGGGCCTTGAACTTACTGTGTAGCTGAGGCTGGCCTTGAATGCTTGCTGTTCTGACTTCACTTTCTAAGTGCTCGGATGACAGATGTGCTCCATCGTGCTCTGCAAAGTATGTTAAACTTTCTAGTAGCCAACTTAAACAAAATGTGTAAAAGAAGGTCTGAGCTGGGCGGTGCTGGCACACGCCTTTAATCCCAGTGCTCAGGAGGTAGAGGCAGGTGGATCTCTGTGAGTTCGAGGCCAGCCTGGTCTACAGAGCGAGATCCAGGACAGGAACCAAACTACAGAGAAACCCTGTCTCGAAACAGAAAGGGGGGGGGGGGTCTGAATGTGGTTAGTAGCTAAGTGCTTGCTTAGCACACACAAGGTCCTGAGCATACCTCCAAGACCTCCAGCAACTCTCTCTCTCTCTCTCATACACATACACAGATGAAAATAATTTTAATATATTTTATTAAATCCAATATGTGCCAAATAGTATCATTCCAAGATGTGAGCAATATTAAAAAT